GGGGGGGGGTCTGTATCAGCTGTGTGTAGCATGTCAATACAATATTGTGGAATGTTTAGTGGGTCGCTGACATTTGTCTGCCACTCTGCATGAATTACACATGAGTGCGTGCTATTGTGTTAAGTCCACAGGCATGTATTAGATGTAATAATGGCATTGTAATTGCATGAAAATTTATACATTTGAATCACCCTGAGGAATATGTATATGCTGCTATAAGTATATGAGTTTAACATATTGTCCAGTCAATACATTTGTCATTTTACGGTCATATGAATGTCATTCAACGCGGTATTACAATATACAGGGGCTGTGCAGCTGCTGTATGTGCATGAGTAAACCCTCTGCATGTGTAGTCTGTAGTATATTGTACCCTTTACCATTCAGCGTGTTGTATATATATGCCTTAGAAATTCCAGTGTAATAAAAAGGGATTTTACGTTGGCAAATACCTTGTCATATGATTCCCTCAGTTACAAAAAGATCAATTAAGGGCTTGAATTGGGCAAAGACAGCGCTTTATGTATCAAAGTGTTGCTAAAAACTGAGGTTACTTCTCCTTATCCAGCAATCAGCATCAGATCTGCCCTGAAAGTTTGAATCTGATTGGTGGCTCATGAGGAATAACTCAAATTCTAAATCAGAACATGTTGATACACAAGGGCCATAGTTAATGGGCTTCCAGGCAACAAATTTCACTTACACAGGTCAATTACTACCTCACATTGTGCTATTGTAAACCTAAACTAAAAATATTTTCCCTTGTAGGGGGTAGAAAAAGACAAGCTTGGACAGCTGACATATGTTTGTGTACTAACCAGCCAAGACTGAAAAGCCCAGTTGTGCAATGACTGCTTTGTCCATCGAATGTGGTCTTTGTACACCTGCTCCTGTTGTCTCATCCATGATCCTGGAAATCATTTTCAGTGGTGAACATCTGAATCAAGGGTAGGCATCCTCAGGACTCTAGCTGATGTATGAGGCATTGCAAGACTCTAACAGCCACAGACAAGACTCGCAAAAGCAGGAGCCTGAATGATTGCTGAGGTTGCTGGAGTGGCCAAGGTTGCCTACCCCTGGTCTGGATCATATTAGGGATTGACAGATGTGGTCATCACGCAGCAGAAACATAATGGGATTTGTAGTTGCAGCACAGCTGGAGAGCCGAGGTTGCCTTCCCCTGGTCTGGTTCGTACTAGGGGTTGACAGATGTGGTCATTACACATCTGTATCTACCATCCCAGTGCACAACACATCCATTAGTTACAGCAGTCATTTTCACACCATACACGGCATGGTTATTCGAATGTTATGTCTAAAGCAGGTTAATCTATCAAGTTAATCAACCTGTATATGTGTACCATTACTCTTTAAATAATCAAGCAATGTGAGTTAACAAAAGTAGATGAATATGTGCTGCCTGTCTTGATACCCCCACATGGTAGGCCCCTGTAGTATATAGCACCACTCTATATATTTATATCGCCTTCACCAATGGCATTTTCATTCTTGTCAGATACATCTATAAACCCCAGTACAGAATGTGGCAGCTGGCACTAACTTTAATATTGGGCCGTAGGTGACCGCAAACTGTTTGTGGGGATGCTGAGCAAACAACAATCAGAAGAAGAGGTGACCAGCATGTTTCAAGCCTTTGGATCTATTGAGGAATGTTCTGTTCTACGGGGGCCTGATGGAAGCAGCAAAGGTAAGTTCAGAAGGTGGGCTGTTCTGTCAGCTGATCTAAGAAAAGGGCTTGGATTGGGAAACTTTTTAAAGACCTATGGCTTGTAGCCTTGTGACAATAGAATGTCCCTTACTTAGTGCCATGCAGGGTAATTCTGTAGTGTCTGCCTTGATACCCTACCCCCTTATGGGAGAGCACTTTATGTCTGAGTGACTGCTTCTGTACACATTAAACAGTCACTGCAACCTTTGTAGAAGGTGGGAAATTGAGGAGGCAGCATTAGGCCAAGGCGTGAGGGAGGGACACCTACAGTGCGTAGCTCTGATTTCAGTGTAATATCGGTATGTCTGTCTGTGGAAAGTAGTTAGCCATATTTTATTCATAAAGATATGATATCATTAACTTTCAAACTGTGGATTCTGAACAGTCTCTGCACTGTTTTGTTTTTTCAGGCTGTGCTTTTGTAAAATTTTCATCTCACGCTGAGGCTCAGGCAGCGATACATGCCCTGCATGGGAGTCAAACAATGCCAGTAAGTTATGCATACCCTGCCCACACGAAAAGCAACAACCGGTAACATTTTAAAATTCTTGGACAATGTCACTTACCTGTTTTAAAATTACGTATGGCAGCTTACAAATTACATATTACTTACTTATTACTTAGTCAATTCAACCGTTTAAACACTAGGGTTGTTTCCGAACATGCACTAGGCAAGTGGAAATTGAATTCTTGGTTTGGTCAACGTACAAACTTGTCTTCAGTCAGCTGAAAAGACCCCTGCACTGAGAGAAATATGCAGGCTACCACTGCTGGCCTTCTTCTGAAAATGCTAGTTACCTGAATGCATCAAACTTCAATACCTTAGCCCCCGTTCCCACTGCGCGATATGCAAATCGCGCGTTTGTCGCGCGATTTGCATATTGCACGACATCGTGAGATTTGCCGTGTGATGTCGCGTTCAAGCTTGCATTGAGCAAGCTTGAATCGCGGCTAAATCCGCTCCAAAAAGGGTCCTGCTATAGCGACACACGACCCGCGACAGCAGGACCCTTTGCCCCACTGGATTGAATTGGAGCGCGATATCGCGCGGTAATTTGCCGCGATATCGCGGGAATTACCGCGCAATAAATCGCTCAATGTGAACGGGGTCTTATGAGTAAGGCTGAGGTCACATGGGCGGCGCACTTTAATAAAAGTGATACTGTCGTCTTCTGAAAGTCTGATTTTTCTTCTATCCTAAAGGGTATTTTATATTAAACACAGTGCCACTTGGCACACAGTTGACCCATTGACTTCATTATACTCAGTTGAAGTTCCTGCATCGTGTAACACAGCATCACAGTCATGGCAATGTATATTAGGGCTGCAATTAACAAATATTTTCATAATCAATTAGTTGGCCTGATTATTTTTTAGATTATTCTGATTTTTTTTTAAATTACCATCTTTTATTTAAAATAAAATACAGAAATGGAGCGTTACAAACAACAAGTTTTCTTCAGAATAAAACTGCATGCACAATTTTTTGCAAATGCATCGCACTGGAATCCACAGCATTGCGGGACCGCACGTTCCAGTAGAGGCGATCACACTACAGACGGTAGGTGTGTTTGGCGTGCCATTGAAATGAATAGCACAGCAACGCACCTTCCCTAGCAGAATTTGTCAGGCTGAGAATGAAAATTACATTTTTCCCACCTTTTTATAATTTGTTTTATAATTATATGCATTATATTAGTTTAATTAGTTTCATGGATTTAAAATAATTTGAATTGACGAAAAATAGAAATATATATATATACAAATATAAACATAAAAGCCTAGTCATCAGTTTAGAGTTAGCCATAAATATCGGCCTGATATCTATTGCTCACTCTGGCGCATATGGCAATACCTGACATGTGTAGCGCATTTTTCATAAGTAGGTGCATCCCAGTTGTGTTTCCATCAGTATGCATGCATTCGCGGGGGCGAGGGACTTTACTTTTTTGGGGTATTTTTAAATTTATGTTATTTAACTTTATTTTTTTAAGTGAACTTCTCTGTTATCGCATGGGAGGGTGCACAAGTCCCCTATGTGATAGCACATAGAAGATGACCGGTTCTCTTTAAGGTTACATTAGGCTCTATTAGAACCCTAGTGCCACCTTTCCACTTCAAATGAGCTAGTCAAGCACACATGGCTTGAATAGCTTCAGCCAGGGAATGACAGCTGCCTGCAGAGTCAGCTGAATGTAAACACAGCAGGCAGTGGGTGTGTGCAATAGCCAGTCTGCTATTGCAATTTGAAATAGTCAACAGCAGGCTGGCTATTGCGCCTGCCCACTGCCTGCTGTCAATCAGCAGAGGAGGGACCTGAAGGAGAAAGTTCTCCTGCAATAGCAGGCTGGCTATTGCACCACCATGTAGCATAATGTATTAATTTCCCCCACTGTCAGTGAGCCTCTTCGACTCCGTCCAGCAGCGCCTGCACTCTGTGTCCTGACCTGCCCCCCTCTCTGGCATCTCTCTCAGAGCCGAGCCGGCACCCTGATAACCGGCCTGTGTTCCCTCCGATGCCCACTGACTCTACCGATACAGGCGGGTAGAGCAGCGGGGATCTGAGGGGACACAGCCTGCAGTGGGCTCCCAGCGGCGAGCAGAGCGGCTGAGCAAAGTTGCTGCAACGGCGGTGGTGGGTGGGGACCACAGGGAGCAGTTGCAGCAGATTGGTTAGTGAGTTCTCCTCACCACTGGGCACCGGCTGCATGGGTCTTTGACCCCTCAGACTCCTGCTGGGAGCAGCAGAGACTGGAGGGGACACAGAGCCCATGAAAGAATCAACTAATTGGATCCACATATCGATAATGAGAATCACGGACAATGATTCTCATTATCGATTACCATTGAAAACATTGATTAGTTGTTGCAGCCCTAATCTGTATGGACCCCTCTGGCTGCCTTGTTATTGTTCAGGTAGGCACTCATAGGGTGGTAAAAATGCAGACCACCCTTTTGCCACCTATGTGAACTCTATAGTCAGAACTCCCTATCTGCATGCTTGTTTGAAGTCGGTGGCTAAAAGTATTAAAGCCATTGGATTGACATGACAGCAAATAACTGCCATTACTGAAAGTAAAGGTCATCAGTGGCCGCTTCCACTCTCATTCATGTAGGGTTCCCTTAAAATAAAATGTTAAATGACCCTAGCTTTCTTTTACCTTTTTATGCTGCATAAAACATAGTTGTGTTTTACCAATTTATGACCTAGATGCTTGTAATTTGTCAGTTCCTTACTAGGATAACAGACATACTATTTACACTGTTCTTTACCCTATACTACCAGGGTGCCTCATCTAGCCTTGTGGTTAAATTTGCGGACACGGATAAGGAGAGAACACTGCGCAGGATGCAACAAATGGTTGGTCAGCTGGGGATCTTTACCCCATCATTAGCACTTCCCATCAGCCCATACAGCGCATATGCACAAGCGGTAAGTGTTCCAGCTTGCTTTGTCAGAATGCACAGGTAGTGTGGATAGTAAACTAGAATGAACTAGTGATCGCTGTGTCAATTTGGAAGTCAGTCGAATATTATCTCATGCAGTGGGTTTTAAACATAGATTCTCTGACTTGATAGATCACAGGCATACAAAATTTGTATAGGAACAACTGTATAGCTGCTACAAGTTGGACGGATTTTCATTATTCTCAGATTGGTGTGTAAGCACACATGCATGTAGATCTGAGCTCATTCTATGCAGCCTGCATTTTTTACAGCATGTATCATTATTAAAACATTCAGTGTCATCAGGGCAAATATAAGGGTTGCAACAAGCAAACAGAAATTATATGTTGCAATAAGAGTCATTAGACAAAACATGAACACACAAACAATTTGCATAGCTTATTCGTCCAGCAAAACTGCACTTACATTTGTTTTTTATGGGTTACCCAGCTTTTGTGAGAATAGGGTAAAAACAAATGTTTCCTAATGGAATTTGTCTTCTGGTCTGATGTTCTTTAATAGGTTTATATATCAGGAACACAGTGATTGGAGAAAATACTGCATTATGGCCAGTAGATGGATCCGAGAGTCAGAGTAAATAAATACATTTTAGTAACGAGATACAATTCAAGAGACTGCCTGAGAGAATAAGCATATAAATGTACCCATTGCTATCCCAGTAGTACCAATGGTTACATACACAGATAAATAAACTATGTGATTTTTTAATACATAGAAAACGTATGTAGAGAACGTACTGAAAGCTGCCACCCTTATAAATGTTTAAAATAAGCTAAGGCAAGTATTGACATTGCAAATGGTCATCCATAGATCTGTAAAAAAGGAAAAAACCTGGGTGTGAATAAATATATACTAATCAGAGTGAGAGTGATTGTGATAGAGGTCTACCCATCACTAATGGTAAGCAGATACAATGCATAATTGAACAAAGTGAGCTGCACTTTGGGGATATGCCCCTAAGAAAATTGTTAGCAATAGAAGAGGAAGTAGATTGTATATCAAGAAATCTGGCTGACTTATGGCTTATGGGATATGCCCCTAAAAAACTGTTAGCAGTAGAAAAGGAAGTAGGTTGTACATATAGAAATCCCGCTGACTTATTTAATGGCTTTTGGGATATACCCCTAAGAAAAAGGTCAGCGATAGAATAGGAAGTAGGTTGTACATGAAGACATCTGGCTGACGTATTTACTGGCTTAAAGGAGAACTATGAGGTGAGTGAAAGTCACTCAGCCTCATAGTTGGAGCCGCCGTGTGACAATGGAACTGTCACACGTCGGCTCAATAGATCGGGAAGTGAGCGAACACATATCATCGCTCGCTCACTTCTCGATCATGTCAATGCAGAGAGCCGTGACTGCCACTCACGGCTCCCTGCAGGGATCCCCCCCCCCAATTAAAGCCATTGGATTGACATGACAGCAAATAACTGCCATTACTGAAAGTAAAGGTCATCAGTGGCCGCTTCCACTCTCATTCATGTAGGGTTCCCTTAAAATAAAATGTTAAATGACCCTAGCTTTCTTTTACCTTTTTATGCTGCATAAAACATAGTTGTGTTTTACCAATTTATGACCTAGATGCTTGTAATTTGTCAGTTCCTTACTAGGATAACAGACATACTATTTACACTGTTCTTTACCCTATACTACCAGGGTGCCTCATCTAGCCTTGTGGTTAAATTTGCGGACACGGATAAGGAGAGAACACTGCGCAGGATGCAACAAATGGTTGGTCAGCTGGGGATCTTTACCCCATCATTAGCACTTCCCATCAGCCCATACAGCGCATATGCACAAGCGGTAAGTGTTCCAGCTTGCTTTGTCAGAATGCACAGGTAGTGTGGATAGTAAACTAGAATGAACTAGTGATCGCTGTGTCAATTTGGAAGTCAGTCGAATATTATCTCATGCAGTGGGTTTTAAACATAGATTCTCTGACTTGATAGATCACAGGCATACAAAATTTGTATAGGAACAACTGTATAGCTGCTACAAGTTGGACGGATTTTCATTATTCTCAGATTGGTGTGTAAGCACACATGCATGTAGATCTGAGCTCATTCTATGCAGCCTGCATTTTTTACAGCATGTATCATTATTAAAACATTCAGTGTCATCAGGGCAAATATAAGGGTTGCAACAAGCAAACAGAAATTATATGTTGCAATAAGAGTCATTAGACAAAACATGAACACACAAACAATTTGCATAGCTTATTCGTCCAGCAAAACTGCACTTACATTTGTTTTTTATGGGTTACCCAGCTTTTGTGAGAATAGGGTAAAAACAAATGTTTCCTAATGGAATTTGTCTTCTGGTCTGATGTTCTTTAATAGGTTTATATATCAGGAACACAGTGATTGGAGAAAATACTGCATTATGGCCAGTAGATGGATCCGAGAGTCAGAGTAAATAAATACATTTTAGTAACGAGATACAATTCAAGAGACTGCCTGAGAGAATAAGCATATAAATGTACCCATTGCTATCCCAGTAGTACCAATGGTTACATACACAGATAAATAAACTATGTGATTTTTTAATACATAGAAAACGTATGTAGAGAACGTACTGAAAGCTGCCACCCTTATAAATGTTTAAAATAAGCTAAGGCAAGTATTGACATTGCAAATGGTCATCCATAGATCTGTAAAAAAGGAAAAAACCTGGGTGTGAATAAATATATACTAATCAGAGTGAGAGTGATTGTGATAGAGGTCTACCCATCACTAATGGTAAGCAGATACAATGCATAATTGAACAAAGTGAGCTGCACTTTGGGGATATGCCCCTAAGAAAATTGTTAGCAATAGAAGAGGAAGTAGATTGTATATCAAGAAATCTGGCTGACTTATGGCTTATGGGATATGCCCCTAAAAAACTGTTAGCAGTAGAAAAGGAAGTAGGTTGTACATATAGAAATCCCGCTGACTTATTTAATGGCTTTTGGGATATACCCCTAAGAAAAAGGTCAGCGATAGAATAGGAAGTAGGTTGTACATGAAGACATCTGGCTGACGTATTTACTGGCTTAAAGGAGAACTATGAGGTGAGTGAAAGTCACTCAGCCTCATAGTTGGAGCCGCCGTGTGACAATGGAACTGTCACACGTCGGCTCAATAGATCGGGAAGTGAGCGAACACATATCATCGCTCGCTCACTTCTCGATCATGTCAATGCAGAGAGCCGTGACTGCCACTCACGGCTCCCTGCAGGGATCCCCCCCCCCCTGTCCGATCCTCCAGCACTGACTGGCGGAACAGATGGGAGAGGGGGCGGGTACAGCTGGCTCTGCCTCTAGATAGGCAGAGCTGGCTGTCAATCACGTAGCTGGGTGGATCTTGACAGTAATGTCGGGGTCCGGCCTGGCTGCGCCGGTCTCGGTATACCACGAGCTACAGCTCGCCGTATACTGAGCTTTGGGTCACAGGAGGACGCTAGTTTGTGTCCTCCCGTGACCCTGGGGAGAACTATGGGGAAAAGCACTGACCCCATAGTTCTCCTTTAAGGGCTATATCCCTAAGAAAAGGTTAGCAGCACAAGAGGAAGTTGGTTGTACATGAAGAAATCTGGACAGTGATCATGTGCAGAGTGCATTATCCTAAAGCAACTAATCACTTTTACCCAAACAAAAGTGAAAATCATGTTGGATGATAAGCTTTAGGACTTTGTACTTTCTTGATTAGCAAGCCCATTGGTTTCTATACTGTATTACATACACTCCCTGTCCCAACTTCTGCCAGTTCATCTTTAGAAATGTTGAACTCTTGTGGATAAATGATTAGAAAGCTGCTTTGTGACAGCTGTATTGCTCTACCAAAATTAAAGCTGCATGGCTTCTAAGGCTATAGTAGGGTATTATAAAGTATGCATAGTATCTACAAGTTCATTGCTAGGTCTGTAGATAAAAGTAGATTTCGATTTTAGCGGCTAGATATTTGATTTCATGCGGTGAAGAATCCTGGGGGTTAGAAAAGCTATACATAACTGGCAACTGAATATGAGCTATGAGATTGAGTCATAATTTGTATTCCAAAGTGCAAGTGAAAAAGCAGGACTTACAGATGGAAGATGTACAGCTTTGACCTGGAGATAGGGAGCTGGAAATTAGAAGTGATAAATCTTGCACTGTGAACGATGGGGCTTGTGATAACGTGAAATGGAATATGGATTGGTGATTGATGGAGCACAACTGGAAAAAATGAAGCAGAGAACGCAGATATATATACAGCTCGGGGATGTAAAGATAGACAGCTAGGAAAGGGAAGAGACTGAGCTGGGATTGGAAGGAAAGGCAGCTGAGAGCTGGAGAGACACGTAGTACGTCACAGCAAGAAGAGAGAAATTCTCGGTACTGCTTCCCTAGGGCAGATAATGAACAACAAATGGAGGAGTTAATTCTGGCTGAGAATTGTTGGGAAAGATTGCCCCCTTGTGTTCTGGGGCATGTATGACAGTTCAGCCTTTTTTGGTGTTGACTTCTGATACTTTTGTCCCACCATTTTCCCTATTTTTTTTACATGTATAGCTAACAACGAAGCAAATAAATATCAACCGTTATAAAATTCACTGTGTGGATATTTTTAAAAACATAAATATATGAGTCCGGGATTTTATGTGTATTAGATTGACTCTGCAGATGGTATATACTGAGTTTAGGTGCATTTTTCCTGATGTGAAATATTTCTGCACTGGTTTTGTTAATGGTAATGGCAGCACGGTTGTACAATTACACTACATTTTAAAGGCACATTGGATACTTCCAACAACATTCAGAAGCCTCAGTAAGCATTTCATGTTTTGATTGATCAAAGCCCTTAAAGTACCATTCAGCCCCATTTTGATAGTGTTTAACACTACTGCTTGGTAGTCCTGACTGTTGCTTTAATAAGCTTCAGAAAATGTAAGCACTGCCTAAATCTTGCTAAAATCTTTTGTACAGCTAGAGCCAGTACTTCTTTTGGGGTCTGTGTTAAGCCCTCATAGACTGGTGTTGAAGATGGCTTTAAAGACTTTTTTTTTAAAAGTTGCTTAAAGCTGTGTGAAAATGTTTGCTGGCATTTCTTTATTGTAGGCTAGTGTCCAAGCTAAGATTACATTTGTTTAAGGTCTTATTCTCCACATAGGCGGTCTGGATTTTTCTGTACCTTTAAAAAAGGTTACGTTTAGAGGGGATGTCTTACTTTATAGCGGATTACTACTTAATTATAGCTTGTTCTGCTTATAATCATATAGAAATATATATATAAAGGATAATATAAAAGAGGTGCAACTATGGGTTGATCAGCCTTGTTCTTTTTGTATAACCCCCAACCCATTCTCTCTGCTTGCCTGTTATAGCTGATGCAGCAGCAGACAACAGTTCTGTCAACATCACATGGTAGTTATCTGAGCCCTGGTGTGGCGTTTCCCCCATGTCATATTCAACAAATAGGAGCTGTCAACCTGAATGGGCTCCCAGGCACACCAGCATCAGGTAAGCATCAGGTAAAAAGCACTATGGTGCTGTACACTATGGATATACAGTATGTATACCATGATGGCATATATCACTGATATCAATTTTAGCAAGGTATATAATGGTAATCTTTAAATATGATTAGGTATATTGATATACAGTACAGTAGCACTGTGTATAAAAATGCTACCTGTTTGATACATTTTCCAGATTTGTCCCAACCATATAAAATTTTTTGTGCTTGAATCTGTTAATAGATATTATTTTGTAATAATCCAAGTAGCATCTTGACACTGAAAGCAATTGAGTTGCATAGCAACACTGGGAGGGGGATATGTTTTGCATAGTGTACAGAGTTCCTTTGTATAAAGGAGGGTTTCAGTTGCTTAGCAACACTGGAAGCAGCCTCGTAATATCAGGAGTTGTGTTGCTTAGTAACATTGAGAAGAGTTAAGTTGCCTAGTGACATTGGGAGGAATACATTGGTTAATGACACTGACGTGTTGCTTAGCAACTGTGTACAGCTGTTATTAAAGCTGTGCTATTAATTGATATTTTTTGACCGTTTATATTTGCTCCGTAGGTCTACATTCTCCGCCAGTCATTGGTACTGCTGCTGTACCTGGCCTGGTTGCTCCACTGACTAATGGATTTCCAGGGCTTGTACCATTTCCTAGCAGCCACCCTGCTTTGGACACAATTTACACCAATAGCATTGTGCCATACCCAGGTTAGTTGTGCTTTAAGTGGGCAGGCAAAACAGCAGTAACCCTCACCATCGTACTACTGACTCATCATGTTTCTTGCCTTTTCTTTATAGCCCAAAGTCCAGCACTGACAGTGGAGAGCCTACACCCTTCCTTCACGGGGGTACAGCAGTATTCAGGTATCTAACTGTATGCAAGCCTGTAATAATGTTTTCCTCCCCCAGGCCTATTATTATCACAATCTCTTCTCTAACCATTCCATGCACCAGAGGTGCATGGAATGCAGGTGCTTTAAGTACAAAACCCAACATGCCTCTGCCTCTGGGAGTCATGCCTGTAACTGTCAGTCTTGCATTGCCTCATGGGACTTGTCGTTCTACAACAGCTGGAGGGCCAGAGATGCCAACCTCGGCTCTACACTATGGAGAATCTCCAGATTAAAACAAATACATATCAAATCTGCTCTGAATACATTTAGATGTGGATATATGACAGTAGAGCAATTCTGCCTTGTACTACGAAGGTCTACCAGTCTTTACTCTTGCTTTAGTAAAAATGGCTGGTTTTGCAGCCTCTTGGGGCTAGCCATGTCATATATCCCAGGAGGCAGTAGTTTCCTGGGATATATGATGTGGTTTCCATTCATAGAAACCATGGCCACATGTAAACGGACATGGCTCCAGATCTGTCTGCCCGTATGTGAGATCTGGCCCCATATCATTGAAGGGGTCAGCTGTGAGAACCAGGTAGGAACAGCCAGCTCCCCATGTGGAAAATAGCGGCATGGAACAGGACCCGTAGTAGGAGAGTGGCGTGAGGAAAAAGCACAGCATTGGATCCACTGGGCATGTATGTATATGGGAAAAGGACTGACATTTTGATTGGAAGGTTGAAGTTTCTGTTTAGGTTCTAAAGCCCGGGTGCCCAAATTGCAGCCCTTTGTCATTTATTGTGTAGCCTTCGGGGCCCCTGCAAACTCTAGTCTGTGTTTTGGTGTTTACTCAAGCTAGTGAAGAAGAAAATAATATTCTTTAGACTGGCTTCCTCTAGTTAAATGGTTTGGTTTCTTTCTTTCATACTTTCTTGATTTTTCTGTGTCCTGATCCTTTATAATGCATCTTGCTGAGAAAAATATCAAGTACAGTACAAGCATTTTCTCAAAGGGCTGTAGGGAGCACAAATGTAGGAGTATATTGATTTGTAAATTGGCTGTAATAGCAGTGACCTCTAGCAGTCTCATGTAACCTTTCTCCAGTCTATGCCTGTCTCCTGAAGCATGTCCCTAGTCTATAGCATAACCATAACCATAGTATGCCCATCTCTTGTAGTATGCCTGCAGTCTCTGACCATCTCCTGTAGTATGTCTTCAGTTAATCCAATAATCTTTCAAACCAGTTTAAAATAAGGGTTAGTAAAATATGGCAAGGAACATGGGTCATGCAAGTCTTAACACCTTGGTAGTGTTAAGTACTGTCCCGCACCTCCTGCATGTTCCAGTTTGTAAGTAAGGCCACCTATAATGTTGATGGGCCAAAAGGAATATGCAGGAGCTCGCAGATGGCAGGCTAGCTTTCAGCACTACCAGAATACCCAGGATGCTGGAGGGGTCATCTGGTCATCATTGCAATGTGCATTCTAATCCCACAGCCTGTTCAGTACTGGCACTATTATTTTATAAAGTGAGGAAGGTTTTGAACTTCTGTAAGGCTTTTATCGTTGTCTGCAGGTGGAATAGGGAATTTTTACCTCACTTCCTGTTGTCTAATTGGGACAGGAAGCAAAATGTGGTTATATTTTAAATGCATATCCTTCCTCCTTTTCCTCAGTTTGTTGTAGCCTTTGCTCCACCATCTTTTTCAGTTTACTGGAAAATGGCTGCAATCATTCCTCCGATGTAATAGTAACTGTCAGCCATGCATCATACAGTCTCAGGAGAGATAAAGGGCATGCAGAAAAGTCTTTTTTTTTACATCAAAGAAAACATATGTGCTGGAGCATCCATGTAATTTAAAATATGGAACTAGGATAAGAATATGGATAAGATATTGGTAACTAGATATATGTATGTTCATGAACAGTGGAAAGGTGAAAAAACTCAGCAAGGAATTTCTTTTTCTCTATATATTGTATCCAATATGCAATGATTAAAAGGTTTTAGGAATTTTCTAAACATAATCATACTATTAATGTTATCTATCATTGCAAAAGCCAGCTATTTTAAAGAGGCCTGTACTGCAGAAGCCGGTCCCAAAAAAGGCAAGTCGAGGACAAAGGAGTAGTCATCAACATTGCCTGTAGTATCCTGCAGCTGATCTTTATTTATTTATTTAAAGAGAACTATGGGGTAACCTTATTATCCCAAAGTTGTCTGAAGGGTCACGGGAGGACATATGCTAACCTCCTCCGGTGACCCAAAGCTCAGTATATAGCGGGCTATTGCCCGCTATATACTGAGAGCGCTGCAAATGGGACAGATCCCGACAATGCTATCGAGATCCACCCAGCTGCGTGAGTGACAGCTGGCTCTGCCTATCTAGAGGCAAAGCCAGCTGTGCTCGCCCCCTCCCCCCATCCGTTTCTCCAGTCAGTGCTGGAGGATCAGAGCAGGGAGGGGGGGCACCCCTGCAGGGAACGGTGACTGTCAGTCACCGCTCTCTGCAGGGAGATGATCGGAAAGTGAGCAAGCGACGGTATGCGTTCGCTCACTTCCCGATCTATAGAGCCAACATGTGACAGTTTAATTGTCACACGTGGGCTCGAACTATGTGGTTGATTGAAAATCACTCACCTCATAGTTCTCCTTTAATTTTTTTTCTATGGCGCCAACAATTTACGCAACACATTACATTCAGTTCAAGTTCACATCAATCTCTGCCCTCAAGCAGCTTACAATCTTAGGTTCCTATCTCACATGCATACATATGAGGGCCAATTTTAGACAGGAGCCAATTAGCCTACCAGCATGACTTTGAAGTGTGGGAGGAAACCAAGGCAAGCACAGGGAGAACATGAAAACTCCTTGCAGATAGTGACCTGGCCGGGATTCGGACGAGGGACCCCTAGTGCTACAAGGCAGAAGCGCTAACCACTATGCCACTGTGATCTTTCCCCTATTGCTGACTTACCAAATCGTGTTCTGCACTGTGTCTCTGTGTGGAGGCGACCATCTTCGTAAGGGCAGGGCTGCCTGCCCTTGATGGCAGGTGAGCTGCTGATTGATGGGGGGATATTAAAGAAGCAGCAGGAGATGTGCAAAAAGTTCAGATCCACAGAAGGGATGATGCAGAAACAGGGAGATCCTTGTCAACAGGTCATCAGGTATAGCTTCCTCTCCAGCAAGGAGGACAGTGAGTAGCACAATTGTGACATCACCAAATCAGACACTGCAGATACACAGCTAGGAGGATGTAGGTACAGTAGTCCCCCAGCACCCTCACATACCAGGAAGTGCACTGCTATTTTTCAGGTGGAATTCCAGACAAAAGGTAACATTTTGGGGTACTGCTTAGGCACAATAATGTTTCTTGATTTTCCTTATAAAATAGCACATCTTCACATTTTTAGTTCCACTTAAGTTGTGACCTCATATGCATCTATTTCCTGCAAAATGGTCTTACCATGGTAGACAGCTAACATTTATTATGTAAACCTAGCCTACTCCAGGATTATAACACCACTTTGCTTCAGGCCACCTTCTATGGGAATGATTAAAGATCAGGGATTTGCTGGCCCCCTGACACCAGATTAAACAAAACAAGTAGATTTCCCTTCTCCTGCTCTCTCCACATGTATCTTTCTGCTTCCCCTTGTGCTCCTTTGATACATAATGGTGGACTTCTATATGCAAATGCTATAATTTCTTATAAATATGTAACTGTATGCCTTTTTTCACATCCTCTAAGCTCATTTTTCTTTCTTTGCCACCACAGCTATTTATCCCACTGCGGCCCTTACGCCTGTCACACATAGCACCCCACAACCTCCTCCTATCCTGCAGCAACGTGAAGGTGAGAAAGTTGCACAATTTAGAGAGGAGTCCCAGGCAAATAAATGGAGCTCTGTAATAAAATATCATTAAATGTTCTTTTTTAAATTGAACCAGTGTAAGTACCTCAATCTGACTTGGTATCAGCCTCTTGCAATTCTCTGTACAGCAGTATGTCTGTAAAGGTTTTCATTCATCCAGGTCATGGTATATCTGTAAAAAATAAGTCAAGGCAACTGGACTTGCTGCATTTTTCTTCAAGACGTTTAACTGGATATCCGACTAGCTTTCTCAATTCAGAATGACTTGTACAAAACCAGTCCTCCTCCCTGTCTAGGATGCATACTTGACTGTCTTCAAAGGTGTGACATTTTTCCCTTAGATGTAGGTACACTGCTGAATCCTGACAAGATACCCCAGCTACATATTAGATGACCAAATGACAAACTGAAGAATTTGGTCACCCCATATGTAGCTGGGGTGTCTGAGAAAATCAGAAGGGTTTTTAATAAACATCACATCCCTGTCTGCTTTAAACCCAGCAATACGCTGAGGCAACAACTGGTTCAGCCAAAAGAACCAACACCAAAACACAAGATGAACAACATTGTGTATGCAGTCCAGTGCAGTGAGGAGTGCTCAGAATTGTATGTCGGTGAAACAAGGCAGCAGCTACACCAGCGTATGGCGCAGAATAGAAGAGCCAAACCCTCTGGTCAGGATTCGGCAGTGTACCTACATCTAAAGGAAAAAGGTCACTCCTTTGAAGACAGTCAAGTACGCATCCTAGACAGGGAAGAGGGCTGGTTTAAAAGAGGTGTGAAAGAGGCCATTTATGTAAAAATGGAGAAGCCAAGCTTAAATAGAGGTGGGGCAGTGAGACATCTATTGTCTGCCACATACAATGCTGTTTTAACACCTCCAAGCTCCAATTATGCAAATGCAATCAACACCTGGTTGTGATGAACAGATTATGTGGATCCGAGCGACATTCACCATATTTATTCCCAGAGAATTTGTGTACAAGTCATTCTGAATTGAGAAAGCGGGTCGGATGACCAGGGAAACGTCTTCAAGAAAAATACAGCAAGTCCAGTTGCCTTGACTTATTTTTTACAGTTATCTGTACAGCAGTGCTCAGACTGGGAGATTAGCACAAGGAGCCTATCACATGTGCTGCAGTACTGATGTGTTCAAAGGAACATGCCGACAGGAGGAGAGATCAGAGGGATGAGTTTATCAGTCAGCTGCTTCTCTTTTCACTGTCTAGTCACCGGCCTGTACAAGACCTGTTTCTAAGCTACAGTGGAGGAAGAGGAGGTCCCCTCCCCTGCTAGGCAGGCCTGTGGTGTGTCACAGAATTGTGTAATTCTTAGGAATCGATGGACAGAAATACAATATTGAAACCCTATCACTGGTGTCCAACCCAAGGTCCGCCCCCACTAACACGTTTCACCCAATTACGGGCTTAGTCGCAGAGACTTTACAATTATGCCTGTGATGGGGTGAAACGCGTGAAGAGTGGGACACCAGTGATGTGGTACATCTTTCAATAGACTATCCCAGCAGAATCTGGTGTTCAGCCAGCTTTCCTTCTGTTTGTATGTGCTCATATTGGAGCGGGGACGTGCTCCCAGCAGCAAGCACCCAGCTCCTTTCCTGAGCCGTGGAGGAGCGGTGCTTCTTTTGTGTGTTATCCTTGTACTTGCCTGGAGTTCAGTTTAAGATGAACATTAAAAAAATACATAATTGGAGGCTGCTCAAAACTGCACTTAAAATTTATCAGTAGATCAGCTAAAGTTATATGTAAATCTTTTTTTTTTGTTTGTTTAAAAAACAAACTTTGCTTTGCCCTCCCCTATGCTTCCCTATGGGTCAGTGTTGTGACCCATCATATCAGGTACTGGAGGCAGGAGGGAAAGCAACAAGTTTGACTTTTACAGCAAAAGTGAAGATGTCCATGTAAATTTAGCTGCCCATACCTTTGGATCTACTGATTAGTTTGGCATGCAGTTTTTACTAATGATAACTGTTGTGTTTTCTGATCATAGGATTCATTTGAATTTCCCAGGTTTGCGACTGGTTTATTTGATGTCTTGTATAAAGACCTGAACATGTACTGCTTTCTTTGCGACAGGTATAATACAATAATATCCACCTTTCCAGTGGAAGCAATAACCAGGTTAAAGAGTGCAAGAACAAAATATAAAGGGCATTGGTCCAAACTCAGCAAAGCAAGCAGTATTTGGTTTTATAGTTGTGTTCTGCGATCATACATATTTCATATGTGAATGTATACATATATTGGACAGGAATGTAGGATATTGCATTGAACTATTTACATTTAGTTAGTCGTCATCATTAAAGTCCAGGATAAAATGTGCACCTCACTTTGTGGGTGGTTATGTTGATGGAGATAATCAATTATAATCATCTCTTTTGAGCCTTATCAGACTGTATTGTATTGCTTTCATGTGCAGCAGTTGTTGCTGCACATGAAAGCTAACCTTGAAGCACATTTAAAAAAACAGCCTTAGACCCAGTTAGGTATTTGTAACAAAAATTGCTAAATGTGATTTTAAATATAGCTTGATTTCTGTTTTTATATTAGCTTTCTGTAATTACCTATATGTCAGCACTCAGAGAAGGAGGGCCTGTATTGTGACTCAGTGAGGCTCTACCGCATTGCACAGTACTGTCATTCTAACACTACTACACACAACTACCTACACCAAGGCAATACAGAGATGACTTCATGATAATACTGCTGCCCTATATTTGTACAATCAGCAGAGCAGAGACATAGAGGTGACACCACGTATAGCTTAAAATAGTATTAATCTCTCAGACTTTTTTCAATAATGAATCCAGATCAAATAAATATACATTGTCCAACAAAGTATTTCCTTAAATTGTTGCCCAAGCACTTACAGTCATCATGTTTTCAAACAGCTGGCTCCAACTCTTTCAGCTCGGCTTCCCTGAACTTCCAGTGCAATACAAGATCACAAGGTACAGAGCAGTCTCCAGCAGCTGTCTATCTACTCGCTTGGAGGAGGGAGGAAGGAGGAGGGGGGAGAAGGGAGTGATTTGCCTTGCTGTGCCTGTGTATTTGTGGAGACATACACAGCTTATTAGCACACACAATGGTGGCTCCATAGGACCCTGCCAGGTAAAGAAGCCACCCTAAAACAGGATAAATTTGGCCAATGCTCAGGAGACCAGCTGATTCTGTAGAAAACTAAACCTTTTAAACATCAAGATGCAGCATCCATTGTAAGTTATTTCATCAGCATTTCAAATAGCTTTAAAAATTTGACTTTAATATTACTTGTAAAGTGATATCAAAGTCAAAATGTTTTTAAAGTATTTCAAATGCTGATGAAATCACTTACAATGGATGGTGCTCATGTGGCAACTGAAGTTAACTTTTTTTTGTATAGTGTTCAGAAGGTTCAGATCCTCTCTCAAATTTTTATTGCTGTCTCTTTGCTCAGTGGAACATGGAAGGTGGAGAAAACCTTCCAAGCAGCAACATAAACACCTTAAGGTTAAATCCTCTGTCAGGTTTTTTTGCCATTGGGCATAATTCCCCCACTACCTATCCCAATGACATCCTGTGTGTCTCAATTCGACATAGTGTCACTGGAAAGCAAGTGTAGGGAAATTTTTCCAACTGGGGCACAGGCAGCAGTACAAGGTTGACAAAGGGCCTAACCCAGGGGTCTCAAACTCAATTTAGTCGGGGGCCACTGTACACATTTTTTAGTCACGTGGGGGCCGATACTATATACAGTACCAGTTTTAATGTATGCACATGTTACAAGCGGCAACTGTCACCGATTCAAATGAATGATCAGGTGACAGCTGCTGCATGTAAACGCCTGCACACCGCATGTAATCATATGTGAAAGCATTACATGCAGTTAGGAATCAATCACTCTACCTGGATACACGATTGTTTATCCAGGGAGAGGGATTGTTTTTGTAACTGCATGTAATCATATCACATATGATTACATGCGGTATGCAGGCATGTACATGCAGCGACTATCACCTGATCATTAACTTGAATGGGTGACAGTTGCTGCATATAAACGCCAGATTAGGGTTTCCTGCTGCAGGAAACACAAGTTTGTGACACAGGAATCCCTAATCGCACCTGAAAGATAGGGGACTCCCCCATTCCAATCCCCCCCGCACACATAATAATACACTCCCCCCAACCCAGCACACATATAATACACCCCCCTCCTTTCCTTCCAAGCCCCCTCACCTGCTTGCATCTGTGCAGGGAGGAGGCACATCATAATTCCCTGATGATCTAGTGGTGATTAGTAAGATCTAGTGCAGACCTTAATAATCATCCATCATTCGACCGGAGCTCAGAACTGACAGAGCTCCGGCCGGATCTGACAGGAGCAGCTCTGCGGTCTGCATCCGACAGAGATGCAGACTGTGTAGCTGCTCCCGCAAATCGGGCACGCGGTCCGTGACCGTGTGCCCGACTGGTCAGCTGACTGCGGGCCACAAAGTACCGCCTCGCGGGCCGGTACTTTGAGACCCCCTGGGCTAACCCCTCCACGTATGCCAATATTTAATGCAGATATTTGTATTGACATGACTTGTCAGGGTTGCCTTGAAAAGGTGGCTGCAGCACCAGAGAAAATATATATATATTCCAAACCAAGGCATATTCACTCATCACTACCTGTCCTTATCTCCACGACATCCCTATGTTCAGACACATTGGAAGCTATCATCTCCTGTTTGCATTGGGGAAACATTCCTTGATGTAAATAACATACATTATTTCCAGCAATCACCATGCCGGAGTTAAGCTGGCCATACGTAGAGCGAATTGTGGCCAGTTCCTGATAAATCGTATGGAGTTCAAGCTAGGGTTGGCCCTGTTGACATCCCTCTGCTTATTAAAAATTAGATTTTTCAATCGACCTTTGTTGGAGGGGCAGTCCAAATGTTTTCTGCTGAACAGTGCCTGCATCCAAACAGGTGCAGGCATGGTCTGGATATTGAATATAATAGCCACAGTGGGACATTTGTCCATCCACACGGTTTAGCTTGTATGAAGGAATATGGAGAAATCTGTTGGTTTTTTTTTTCATTTTTGTTCAGCCTGTGAGCTAAATTTTAAAAAAATCGAATAGTGTATGGCCAGCTTAACACTGACTGTGTTGCTAAATATATCAGTCAGCATTTTCTTATGTATAGTAACTAAAGGGAAACAAATGTGTCCTACATCATTGCTGCCAATGTATACAGGAGCATGCAGACCAAAGATGGTGGTGAGCAACTTGGTATGCACTATATGGGCAAACGTTTGTGTACACCTGACCATCACACCTATGGTATGTGGGCAAAAATATGTGGACACCCCTCCAAAACATTGAGTGTGTTGTGAATGCTATAGCATAGAAACACATTTCAACTGTGCACTTCCAACCTTGTGGCAATAGTTAGGGGAAGGCCCTTTTCTGTTCCCCTGTGCACAATGACAGGTCCATCAAGACATGAATTAAAAGTATCCCGCACCCAAAGACAGGATCAGGAAGACATGGTTTTAAGAGTCTGGTGTAAGAGAGCTCAAGTAGCCGGCACAGACCCCTGATTTCAACTGTATCAAACACTGTTAGTATAAATTGGAATGCCAATTTCGAGCCAGGTCCTCTCATCCAATATTAGTATCTTGAAAATGCTCTTTTGGCAGGATAGAGACACATTTCCCCCAGCCCCATCCCCAACCACACACTTCCAAAGTCTTGTAGAATGGCTTTCCAGAAGGTGTCCACAAACAAATGGCAATAAACTGTAGGTATCATTTAACACAGGATTCTAACAAGCAGTTAGTCTACTGTGCAGGAGGCCCCAATGTAGTCAGAGAGATACAGGGCACTAGCTATTCTGTGTCTTCAGAGACACCCATGACACTATGACACACTTATAAGGTTATTTAGCTGAAGTAGTATGGTATCTGTTGAGACTCTCTTGAAGTAAAAGAAGTAAAAGCATTATTTCATAAGTACATGTTCATGAACATTTGGTGTATGCTGTCAGACGAAATAACTTAATCCATCTCTGTAATATGTATCTCTGTGATCATCTCACAGGACCGGAGGGCTGTAACTTATTCATCTATCACCTGCCCCAAGAGTTTGGGGATAATGAGCTTACACAAATGTTTCTGCCCTTTGGAAACATCATTTCATCCAAAGTGTTCATGGATCGAGCGACCAATCAGAGCAAGTGTTTTGGTGAGTTCTAATCATAGAATCTGCCAGAGGATGGAGTAGGATTGATTTTTATTTAAGACATACATTATAACTGTATTGTTTTGTGTGCATCATTTCATTAGTCTGAGTGATTTATCATTAAGAAATATAATAGCAGGTGATTGTAAAAAAACCAAAGCCAAATACTTTCAGTATTTTTATCTGTTCAATCTTGTTATTACCTTTCACCAGGATTTGTCAGTTTTGATAATCCATCCAGTGCTCAAACAGCAATCCAGGCCATGAATGGCTTTCAAATAGGAATGAAGAGGCTTAAAGTCCAGCTAAAGAGGCCCAAGGATACAAGCCAACCATACTGACCATCCACAGGTTGATAGCCCCCCTCCTGATCATACAGGTAACCCCTCCTTATTGTGTAGTCTTCTTTAGACTTTTTCCATTTTTATCAGTTGATTTGTACATGGAGTAATATTCACTGCAGCTGCTCCCTTTGTGCTGTCTTATTATGGCATTTGGGAGCTAAAACGTTTCATACTAATTTTTCTTTATACTGCAGGTACACACTGGACCTTTGACTCCTGAATCCTTCCCTATGGAATTATGGGAAAAAGAAGACTTTTTCCTACTAAACACACCCTCCCACCCTTGAGCCCCATGACCTTTGTCCCTCACTCACACTCAAGGACCAAAAAATAAAAAGGTGACTATGGGGTAAAGCAGCAAGAACCAAGCTACCTAAACACAAGGTTGTGTCTTGTGAGTGTTCTATGTCTGTCTGCTGAACGCCCAAGAAAGACCACCTCTGATGGAACAAACTTACACCTGATGACCTCCTTCAGATGACCAAATATATGAGGGGGTACAGGGTGAAGCCCTTTGGGTGGCAAACCCCCCACCATAAGAGTGTCTACTGATTTGCAGTGCAAAGAACTGTTTACGTATTTATATGAACATATTTATTTATTGGGGAGGCCCAATGCAACATACCACACCCCTTCCACTGCCAGAGGGCCAAGCAATGTGGGATGGTGTTAAAACATTGTTTATTTTGTTCTAGATTTTTTTTCTTGGTTATTTGCGGAGGACAGGGTGTTTTGGGTGGGCAGGAGTGGAGCTCAACAGAGTTCAAAGGTCATGTTTACAAAGCAGCCACCCCCACACTCACAGGGAAGTTTCCATTTGTCTGCTGCTCATACGCCTGGCCCCCCAGAAAAAGGGCTGGACTTTTGCATCTGCTCCCAAACCCTGCTCTGCATCTTTCAGATCTGGGGAAGACTCAACCACTCAGTGTTGTTCTGTGGAGAAACTGCAGAAGAGAAGCTGAATCTGATATCCATGCCTCATTCGTGTGGCAGAGTTTACCTGCTTATTACGCACCCTTCCTTTGTGTAAAAAAGGTGTTAAATGGTCTCATTAACCAAAATGCCTGAATGCTTAGAGTATCATAGCATCTCTCATACTAGGAATTCAGGATGTGCAGAGTTTTTCCACTAATGTCAAATTCCCCAAACTGCCACAGCTGCTTTTCTGTTTAGAGAATAGATCTATGACTGCTTATCAGAGGGTTTAGGCTTTGTCAAAAAATTTTAAAAAAAGATCTGTTTTAACTAATACAGTTTTAAGGACCAAGTCAAGCAGACATTACATGTTGACAAGTAGTTTGTCAAAGTTGAGAAAATTAGTTTGACCCCCACACTAAGCTGATGCAGCAAATCACAGCTTGGAGTGAATTTTGTATTAAAAAAAAACAGTGTTCACCTTTTTAGATGCATAACATACATGAAAAAATATGCCAATTTGTATCCTTGCCCAGTGCATTGCTGCCAGCATGTAAATGATTCCTGGGACACCTTGCTATGGAACAGGTCACTCTAGTTACATTAATGGAAGGGTCTACATCTGTGGTTCTCAATTGGTGGGTCGCGACCCAAAAGTGATTTGCCACCCCGTGTTTAGTGGGTCGCCGTGTGCCTTCCACTGCGCTAGGTGAGAGGCTCCTCAATCTCCCCCTAGCGCAACAATGTCAATTCTTGTGCCGAGCAGCCATTCAAAATATGCTGCCCAGCGCCGAGTGTCAGCTTGAGGTGGGATGGGCTGGGGGTATGGCTGCGAGGGAGCTCCATCCATATGTGCATTGCTTGCAGGTCCCTTGCGTGCCCTGTAGAGGTGCCTGTACCAGAGTGACGTTACATTCTGGCTCCCGGCACAGGGTGGAGCTCCGTCACAGCACAGCAGCCCACACTGGACCCCAGGCTGAGGTTCCATTCCAGTAAGGTAGGATCTTAAAAGAAAAAAAAAAGAAAACATTTTTTTTTGGTATGTGTATGAAAATGTGTGTCTGTCAGTGTTTTTGAGGGCCCATTAACACTAGTACAATGCGTTAATTGCACAGTCCTGTTTGATTAAGGTACTGTACCACGCAATCACACTTATCACGCGTTCTGGTGCAGAAGGTGCGTCGTCATTCATTTGAATTGCACCCCAAATGTAGTTTAATCGCTCGCACTGGAATCCGCATTACAGCAATGCCGCGTGGTATGACTTGGGTCGCGACTTAATGACCAAGGACAAATGTGGGTTACACAGGTTGAGAACCACTGCTCTACATGGACCTTGCTAGATTGTAATCTCTATGATAGTATTTGAGGTTGAATAAAGACACAGGTCCATCGATATCAACCTCATGATATCATGACCATGGTTAGGTAAACCGTATGATTTACGTGTAGTAAGTAATAATATAGAAACACCAAATACAATAAAATCATAAGAATTATATCTATTATGATGATGGTATAGTCTTAAATACTCCGTAGTGTTCAATACAGAGTATGAAACTTGTCCCTGAAAATAATGATGAATTTGAGAACATTAATATGCATCTCATTCAGGCATTCTGCAGTATAAGTCCATTATTAGTAAATAAAACATTTGTATAGTGATAAGAGAGGATTTCCAAATGTGTTGAATAGTCTCTGTATTGAGAATGAATAACACAGGATTAATATTTAAACTGCACCTGTATGCACAACAGGCAGCTATTTTATGGACTCAAATCAGCCTCCTGCAGAATGATGACAACACCTTGTGAAATCATTGGCTGTTTTCAAAAAGCTGTTTCAGCCAATAAAATGGCTGCCTGCGCTACATAGATGATGGCTGCATTTGTAAGCACATGGGCATGTGATCGTTATGGATTTATAATGTCTTACTGAGGAAACCCAACTGGGGCTTTTAGGAATATGTAGAAGTTAGGTGTAATTAAGCAGGGTTATTGTAGTGTAGCATTCACAAGGCATGAGATACAGGGGTCACGATTAACTGATAAAAGATCATTTTAACACGATGGAAACTGTCAAGGTTTTGCTCATTTCTTCACTCTCCTCAGCACAGTAATGAGGTAACAGCCTACCCCGGGAACAAGGGGTCGTTGCATCTGTGGTCACTTGTAAATACCATTTTTATACTTCAAACATTCCTTATCTCAGATGTGAAAAGAAGAGGCCCAGGCTAAGCACAAGAAGGAAGGGGGGCTTCTGGGCTTGTTTTACCTCTCCCGGTTCTTCAGTCTGTAATTACCACTAATTATCAGTTTACCCTCTTCTCTAAATGGATGGCAGCATCACAAAGTGCAGGTTTCTTAAAGGATGTCACTGTTACCCTTCTGTAGATGAAAAGCTTCTTCCCCATACCCATATTCGCTGTTGCAGGGTCTCTGAAAGGCACTATGTGTATATATACATAAGAATATATTTGTGCTGCAGAAGATAACACAGATTACTACTTGTAAAACCTATTTTCCAATGTCAGACGGGCCACAATTGTGTTGTTATAGTTATTGTATTACAAGCCTCCTACTAAGTTTAAAGAGGGGTAACCCTTTTTATGTCAGTTGGAGTTCAAACCAGATTGCGGTGACATATTAGTGAGGCCTTTCCAATGGAGGAAGGATTGAGACTTTTATCACCGTAAATTCTTTAGGGTCTAGGACTGAATACTATAAGCTAGATTTGTTTTCCTTTAATATATAGATAATGAGGCTTGTGGCTTAACTCTGATCTTGACTTACAAATACAAGTAAATATATTACATGAGCTATAACAGGATATTTCACAAGGAAGACAAAGCACAGTTTAACCTCATTGAGGCCACATGATGAAAAGGGTTAAAGCAGCTAATTCGTTAGCACTGAAATTTCTCACATCACCCTCTACAGCTCGCATTTCCATTGGTTTATTCATCTTGTACAGAGAGTTTCCAAGATTGCCACCAACATGAGCAGGAAATCTTCAGGGCTGTCAGAGATTAATTATCATATCGTATTCAGTGCTCATTTGGCACCGGAGGAATGGGCAGCACATGAACTTGTGCCTCATGTGCTCCTGTGAGCAAGTGCTTTCTCTGCATCACAGCCTCTTCATACTTCACCTGGGCCGCACATTCCCTAGGTGTGTATAAGATTATATCTGTGACAGAAAAATCCAGGTGTTCTGAACAGCTGCCATTTACGAAAGAATTAAAGGCTAATTCTTAAGGCTGAGTGTCTGCCTGTCTTTTCTTAATGTTTTCTTGTAATTTTATGTTCCAGGATAGCAGAATATTGTGTGTGTGTGTGTGTGTGTGTGTGTGTGTGTATGAGTGTGTGTGTGCATGAGTATGAGTGTGTGTGCTCACATCTACAGTAGGAGAAAGGAGCAACTGGTCATAAGTCTGATAAGGTAGATGGGGCCCAGACTGCCATTATTCTCTACAATTAGTTGACTTTTGATGAACCCACTCCAAGCAGAGACCATCAGATGACTTCCATACAAAAGCAGATGTGAAAGCTCTCAGTACATCTCCCATGTAGCACAAGAGCATGAAAAACATATCACTGCATACATTCTAACATAAATATCAGTTTCTGCTAACACTATGCAATATAAATTGACCTTCTGTCCTTAAATTGTCCACCTTTTCCTCATGCATCTAGTACAGTTGAGCCATTTTGGGTCCTAGGCTAGACACATTCTCCACTCCCCCCTTCAATCATGCTGCTACCAAACATACACCATCACCACCATTAGTGTTAATCTTTTTGTGTTTCCTGTTTATGCAGTGTTCACCCATCACAGCACACACTTATCCACCAGACATGCACATATTTATCAACGTTTTTAATGTTTGATTTTGTGGGATGAAACCCAAGATGAAAGTGATGGGTTGGAAAATTCTGATCATTATTAAGCCGATCAGGTGGTGTATGGATCCCTTGATCAATTCCAATAAACTTTTGACATAGGAAGTAATTGGATTGACACAGACGAATTTACAGTTTGTGTTGCATCAAGTGATTGTTTTAGACATCTAACTGATTAAAATAATGTATTGAATACTTGATTACATGAAAAATTGATCTGTGTTTTGTCAGCATCGGTCCTTCACTTTTCTCTAACAAAGTATCATATACTTTTCTAATGTGGCTCTATTGTCTTTCCATACCTGCCTATATATTGGCCACTATGCTGTTCTATTATGTATAGATCATATCCCAAACCCCATCCTCTGTTTCTGCTGCAAAAAGTTCTTATTTGTGGTAGAAATAATGGTGTGCCGATTAAGGTGTTAGGAAATGCACTTTCACTGTGCAACCTGACCCACATGCACTTCATTTTGTCAGCTCTCACCCGTAGACCAACCTCTGCTTTCTAATG